CAAGCAGATGCACAGACATAACGTTACTGCCACAGCGGTAGCACAACAACACTTCATGTGCTGTGGGTTGGCTTCTTCAAAGTTTCCTGGGGCCAAAAGCAAAAGCAGCACTGCCCTATCACCCTGGTGCTGTTTCAGCACCTCACCTCCTGCACGACAAAGAGCACAAAAAGCAGCCGTGACCTCTCCTGTCGCTTCACTTGGCTGCAGGAGAAAGCACGGCTGGTACAAGATGAGCAGAAATCTCTTCTCTAGAGCCCACCTCAGGACGTGCAATGCCTATCAAGTCAGTCCTGAGCAGACAGGAGTACAGGACTCAGAGAGCTCTATCTTGGTGTGGATATATGACCCCTCCCAACTCCAGAAAGATGAGGGTCATCTACTGTCCTGCATCAATCACCTTAAACTGTCCCAAGTGACAGTGCCATCAGACTCACTCTTACCTGAACTTAGACTTACTAAGGTCTCTGGCTACAGGGACAGAGATGTAACTCCTCCCCACCTCTCTTCATTACAGTAAACAACACAGTGGTTGATTTTTCCTGGACTCACACTCTATTTACACCCAGAAATCTTGTTCCATGTGCTTTCAGAGGCACTTCTGCCACTCTCCAGATACGCAGCACTGTGTTGAAATGCCAGCTACTGCCAAGGACATGCTGCAGAAACCCTGATGGCACAGCCTGGCCCTTGTAAAAGCTGCAATCTGCCCACAAGGTCCCCTCCTCCAACCCATGCTGCAGCATCAACTGCAATCTTTGTATCTCCCAGCAGCACGCACGTGCAAGGTGAAACACTTGGTGTTGATGGTCCAAGTGCTAGTCAGGTCTGGGAATAAATCTGAATGAATCTAGATGAACCATTTTCAGCTGGTAACGCAAGATTTATGGAGGCAAAGAGAACAAGTGAGCCAAATGAGGACTAACCTGGTAGCCTACTGGGTTAGCTGTGTGCAAAAGTAAGGATCCTTGGGTTCTGCTCCAGAAACTATTGATATGCTGTGCAACAGAGAATCCTTGGATAAAATGCACAAACACATTGGTTTAATATCAGAAGGGGTCTCACCATCATGCACTGAGTGATCTCCCCTGTGAAGCTCAGACCTTGGGCTGTCTGGCTCAGCAGCCCCAGAGGATGTGGGAGCGATGTAAAGGCCCCTGTGCAGCCAGGGCAACAGGGGACTGGTGCCCATACACCACTGGAAACCATTTTTCTTGCAAAGGTGGGACAGTTTTAGGGTAGATCTGAAGTGGCCCAACAATTTCTCCTGTAGAGCTATTCAGGAAAGACTGTGTGCAAAATTAGAGGTAGGTGCCCAGGCCAACTCACAAATGTCACAATTATTTCCTGTAATAAGGACACTGCAGTATCAATGTCATTATCCAATATCCAAAAGTTACAAGGAAGTGACTAGCAGTTTCCTGTCTTTGTGGCTGAAAGTCCTGCTGATTCCCAGCTGTGGTATACGATGCCCAGGCAGACTTCTACACACAGAGGCACTCTCACACACAAGCCATGTGCAGATATTCTCAGAGGTCTCTATACGGCAGAAAAGCAACAGAACCAGTTCACAGATTCATCTGGTGAGAGACAAATGATACTAAAATTAGGGTTTCTTCCCTAAGAGAAACATGAAGGAAAAACTATTCAGTTGAGATCCTGAGAAAAGCTATTAGAGTTGATAAACAGAAGAGTCATGTTGGTTTTCAGTGCTGTCTCAGGTATTACTGATTTGCTCAAGTTCAGGAAAACAATGTTTGAAACTAAGAAAAACATAGATCTGCTCCCACTACCCCCCAAAGCCAGGGGTCTTATCTCCCCAGCCCCAAAATTCTTTCTTCAAGTGTTATCAGACAGAACAATTATCCACACAAGGTTGGTTTTAGGGACTAAATGTTACTACTTTCTTAAGTTGAAGGTGTGCAGGGGCTTTTCAGGACTATACTCAGGAAGAAGTAAAATCAAGAAGAAAAAAACCACAGGCTGAATATGGGGTGTGCTCAGTCTGAGCAGGATCTTGCAGAGGCTAAACAAAGCTTTGGCTGTTGATGTGCTTGAATAGCAGTAGAAGGGCCAGGCTGAATCACAAACAGGTCTTTTCTAAACCTGACTATTCAACTCAGTCCCACCACGGTCCCCAAAACCACCAGATAATTGTTCTAAACAATTGCACTTCATGTGCTGAACAGATCACAGCTTGTCTTTAATACAGAAGCAATCTAGCAGGTAAAGGTCTGTCACCAGAGGATTTGAAGGGGGACTTGCTAGCAGAGCCCCAAACCAGCCTGTCAAGCTATAAGCAAGAAAAGGAGTAAATTATAGGTGCAGGACCCTCTAATATGCTAGACTGGGTGGGAGATTGAAGAGGTCTTCTCACACAAACTTACATGGTTGCTCTCTCTCTCTCTATGTACCATTCATATCTATCACTGGACTCTTCTCTTCCTCATTCTCTGAAGAAAAGAACCATCACGGGTGCATAATACAGGCAGAAATAAATACATGAAAGCAATTAGAATCAAATACTTTCTGAAGGTTCTTTACAATCAGTCTTTGACAAAAACTGCATATTACCAATGCAAAAATATTCATTCAACAGCCACGGCATTAAAGCAACTGCTCTAAGTTGGTGAGCATGACCCTAGCTTGTGACCATAACTTCTTGGATACTCCTTATTGCTTAATCTAATCCCCAAATGTCATAAGATTGAAAGTTGAAGTGCTTCACATTTTTCAGTTGCCAGTATTTAAAATTTACTCAGAATTAATTCAAAATGGTCCACCTTCCCCAGTTGAATTTGGAAAGTAAATTGTCCTTATTCTCAGGCCCTTGGCAGAGCAGCAGGGAGGAGGGAAGTGTGAAAAACAGACAGGGTGAAAACATCAAATCCAAGAAGTTACAAGTGATTTAAACATCACTCATGATCATGCTGGAGAAGCTTCTGTTAAGACTGGAACCAGCTTTAATACAAACCCCAAGCTCTGCAGTGATGCCATGGTGCATACACATGCCCACGATGTGTTAGGTCTCAAGCTGGGGACTGGTAAATTTGCTGGGAGTCTGTTTTGCCATGCTAACTTTCAGAAGATCCAAACAATACTTCTCCAGAGGCTGCCATGCATCTTTTGCCTTTGGTGATTCTTTGCATACCCCCCACTCCTCCCATCCCAAACAGCAGCAGCAAAGGTGCTTCTGTTTGTGCATTCTTTGCATACCCCCCACTCCTCCCATCCCAAACAGCAGCAGCAGCAGCAAAGGTGCTTCTGTTTGTGTTGTATGTGCCAACAACACCTTGAACAAGCAAGTCCCTTAACTCTATGGACTGAGTATGTTGTTGGAGTTTGGAAAGCCTCAGGCACGGCTGTATCAGTGTGAGAGTTCATTCCAGCTCAGGGATGGATGACCTTTAGAATATGTAGGTTTTACAGGAGGAGGTATTCCTTCTGCCTTACCCATCAGGTGTTCTGCCAGTAGGTAGGGATGCTGTGATTGCTGTGACAGAGCCAAAACCTCAGTGTGGCCAGGTTCTGTCTCTCTTTGGTTATCACTAAATATACTGAAATGTAGTTAACTAATACAAGTTTGATTATAAGCAGGGTAAATGTACCGCTTTTAAAAGTGGGCAGACGTGCCCTTCGTGTTTGGAAGCTGTATCAATAGATCTGGCTTGCAAAGCCCAAGCAGGAGGCAGGACTGCACACAGAGTGCTGGAATCACCCAGGACAGGTATCCCGAAGCAGGGAGGCAGCAGGGCAGGAGGCAGTCTGTCACTACACAGAAGCAGCCAACACAGTCACGTGTTGGATTCCCACTGAAATAAAATTGGCTTCATCATCATCAACTGAGTTTTTTCCAAGTTCCCAGACTACGAAAAACAGCAGCTTGTGGATCAGCCAAGTACCAAAACTACCAAACTGACCCTGACCCAAGGCAACAGTTTCCTGCTCTGCAGACCCAAAGTCAGAGCCAATGCAAGGGGAAGCTCTGTTGGATCTCTGGCAGAGAGAAGTGGAGACAAATGGAAAGGTCTGAAGGGCAGGCAAGCCTCAAATATGTCTATTTTATATGGGTTGCTTTTGTCTCATTTGAAAGGCATTTCTGTTTAAAAAAAAAAAAAAAAAGTGTTAGGAATCACAGAAAAAAGCTGATAGCCTTGAGCACACACAGGTATCTGGGCTAAAGCACTGTGTCCAGGGGAACAGTCACCCACTGCTGAACTCGGCACCAATGGAAAGCAGAGAGGAAAGCAGAGCAGCAGCAAGCTGCAGGGCAGCAAGCAGGAGCAGACAGGACCTTGTCACCCTTTAAGGCCCGTGACAAAGCCTGGGACATGGCAGGTCAAACTGGTGTCACAGTTTCCTCAACAGTAAAACAGAAGAGAGGGAAGCAAATAAGAATATTTGAAATAAGGGTAGATTTGGTTATCAGCCAAGCTCCTCTCTCTTACTGGCCCTTAATAAAACACTGTTAGCTAAGCCAAATCCTTCACATCTACAAGTGGCAGATCAGCTCTTGGAGCCCTGAAGGTTACCTGAATTTCCTCATATCTTCTGAGACAATTAAAACTGGGGCTGGAATAATGACCTCTGGCATCTCAAACAGGCCCTTGTTTGGCTGATGCCAGAGAGAAGGGTTAGATCTGTAATAAGCTACACTATAATTCAAACTGTTTTAATTTTACTTGTTCAGGTCTCCTTTGGCATCCTCTATGCCAGCAGTTGAGTAATTTGGGAAGAGTAAATCATTTTGAGAGGGAAACTGAAGAAGGAAACCCATTCTGAATGCTTATTTCCTCCCAGGAAAGTTAGACTGGTGAAACCTCAGGCGTCTTAAACCCTGGTAGTAACAGCTTATTAACCTGGGATTCCCCAGCATGGACCAGCACTTACAGGCTGGGAGAAAAGGGACTGTGTATCCTAAAGAGGTAAGCACGTGGGACCCAGACAACTTCTGAGTTTAAAAGATGATAAGTAAGTAAGCTACCCCCAAACCTTATTTCTCACAGGCCTGCCATTTGCTCTTTGGAAGAAGGCATCAAGGCTGCAGTGCAGACCCTGTTCCCACAAAGCTTGAAATGCCTGGAAGCAAGAGATGGGGCTGCAGGTGAAGCCTGAGGGAGATCAGGCAGCATTTGAAGATAGAAATGGGAGGTGGGTACAGAGAAATGGAAGAGCTGAGCATGAAAAACAGGACAAGCAATGCCGCAGAGAACAGCAAAGCTAGGGTGGCACCAGTGCAGAGTTCAACAGAGGAGGATTCAGAGCCAAGCACTTCCTTAAAGAACTGTCTCAAAGCCAATCTGGGCCTGATGGGTCTGGCACCACCTGACGGTGCCAGTAACCTCACAAGAGGAACTGAAGGTTGAATACTCGTGAGCTGGGACCAAACTGTGTCCCTCCCTGCTTCCCAGTCTCTACAACGACACAGCATATGAGGTCCAGGAGTGACCTCATTTGGCCTCACCCACTGAGGAACGACCAAATCTGGCAGATGACCCAAATCTACCACCTAAGCATCTGTTTCAAGAGTGTCAGCAAAGTAAAGCAAGGGGCAAACTCAACCTTTGAATTCCCTGCGCCTGCGGGATGCTTTCAAAGCCTTAGGTCCATCCCACAGAACTGTTTGGGAAAATCCTGAGTGTGTTTTGAATTGATCTGGAAGCACCTCAGGATGGGTGGAAGAGCACTGGTGTTTGGGTGTCGATAACTCCAGAACTCTTTGGCATGGACACGAGCACATCTGAGGAATTTCATGTATCTGGGAAGCTGGATGAACTGCTCTGCTTGAAGCAGGATTTCACCACTGACCCTTTTGTGGATCTAAAGAATTTGCTGGTGGGACCTGGGGTGCTCTTTGCTCACCTGACCATAATGAGACTGAGGCACCAGTGGACGCTATTGCTTTGAGCATCTTTTTGCACTACGGGGAAGTCTTCAAGAAGAGAAGCTCCTAGCACTTCTTTCTAAATTTCTGAGCATCTCTCATGGGATGAACTGAGCTGCATGCAATAATTCAAATTATTCCAGCAGAAGCTGCATGCTGCACAATGCCCATTCTCCAGCCACATCACAGTTTGGATGTCTGCACTATGCAGAGTCACAGAATCTTACCTGGCTCTCAGCATTCAGTGGAAAAGCTTCTTTATCTTTTGAATGAAGTTTCTCGACAACGCCTCCCTCTGAAGTTACAGCTTCCAAGAAGTTAGATGGAACAAGCCCTCTCTGTTGGTTCAGCTCTCCCTGCAAGATCAACAGTCAGTTCTCACATCAGGTTTCCTGGCTAGTGGAGAAATAATTAACAGAGGAGCAGTGCCATGCAGAGAAGCCTATGCTATGGTCTGAGAGAAGCCCAGGAACGCACTCATGTTGGAAAGACCTTCAGCAAATTTCAGGATTCACAGTCTTGCTTAGTGGTGGAACAATTCAGAGTGCAAAAACACAGAAGAGAGTAAAGGAAGAAAAGATGACAGCAAGCCACGACAAATGTGTTCCAGCAATATGGTCAATTCTACAGACTCAAAACATGTCCATTGCTATCCTGGAAGTAACTGGAATATTACTGTGCCAGAAGCTTTCTAAAGGCCTTTGACTTGCTCTGGTATTTATTTATTTTTTTAAAGAATGAGGTACTACTGGTACAATGTCCTGTAGGCATTGCCTCAACGCTCACTGAGGTCCAGAGCTGCAAAGCAAGCTTGGCTGTATTCCTAAAAAACTGTCTCTAGTTCAACAGCAGGAGGTTGGGTGAGACAAAAACGACCTCAGCAATGTTGTTTGGCCAGCACTATAAAATAAGTCAAACAAAATATTCACAGTGATCCCCTCCAGACTTTCCCTGGAGCTGAACCTCAACTTTGATGTGTGAAGACACACTGCTTTCTGTGCAGGAAAAGGTGGATGACCCAAGGGCCAAGGATCCTGTCTAGCACCCAGCTTGTTGGCAGGCACAGTAAATTAAACAGATGCCAGCACCTGTTGAAGTTGGTATGTTGAAGTATGGCTGGATGGGGGTCCTCATACATTTTTATTTTATGTTACCGTTTTATCCTCCTGCTCTGGATGAGACCATGTGTCTGAGTGCTTGGTGACAAATTAGCTTATAGCAGATGCTAATTCAGCTGATGTACGTGCAGAAAAATCCATCCTAGGCTTTAGGAAACCTGCAGTCAAGTTATGCCAAGAAATTAGCTCAGAACCATTTGGATCTTGGGTTCACAGGAGGAGCCTGGACTGCCAGAAACAACCTGCCCTGTACTAAGCAGTTACGGGTTTATTTTTTTCTCCAAAAGCAGAATACTTTGTTCCCTGATTTCCACTCTCCTGCCACTAGATGGACTCCAACGATTTCAGATGCCACCACACGACCTTCTCAACCCTGGTACTTACATAATAGAATCCATCATCATCCATGGACCCAAACACAGTGATAATGTCCCCGGCACTGAAAGTCAGTTCAGCCTGCAAAGAGCAAGAGAACAACGGTCACAGGAGAAGCACTGCCTGCAACTTCTCACCAGAAACACAAGGTCACTCTGGGCTTCTTGCACAATCTCACCCTCAGAGAGGGAGTTGTCCTGGGTGTGAGCTGGGCCAGAGCTGGTTCTGTTCAGCAGCCAGAACAGCGCTGGGGTTTGGGTTCAGCTGGGATTTGTCAGGAGAGAAACGCTGAGAACATCCCCATGTGGCATTTGTGTCCCTGGCACTGAAGGACTTTGTGTTTGTCCCTCTGCAAGCGCAAGATCTCAGGGGGGAGGAATATTGCCATGGATCAGCTCCATGGGCATTGGGCTCTGCCAAGGGGCTGTTCCATCTCCTGTCCCCCATGGGCAGGAGATCCATGAGGGGCTCTTCCTCTCTTGCTCTCTCTGGCTTT